GCTTACACTTCAGACCAATATAACACCGTAGTAATAAAACGATGTAAATTCTCTTGGATGTTATTAAATCAAAATATGGAAGTACCTTGAACCATACTTTGTGGTGTTGAGTAATCAACTCCTTCTATTCCAAGAGGTTAATTGCCTAAATATTACTTCAGTATATTTAACAGAAAACAGCTATCAGAACAGAATAAAAGCTATAAATCTGTCACCTTTTACCCTTCCATCACATTTTTCCCAGCTACAAAACATCTGTTCTCCTCTTACATGGATTTTTATATACTGTTGAGCCTCTTACGTAAACAATGTCAGATGCATCACTGATTAAGAACTTTGATTTCTTATATTCTTCTTGTAATTATCTGTACACACAATGTGTAGAATGTGTACAAAACCCTTTTATTCTTTTTTTTTTTTTTTTTTTTTTTACTTTTAACCATGAGAAACAAATAGATTAAAAACATAAAAATAAATAATGATTTGGAAAACAAAGCCTGATGGTATAGATGGACAAGGAACTTAAGCAGGAAGGCTGGTTTGTATCTTTTCTAATTGAAAAAGTAGGGTTTTGATGAGTATTTATATATATATATATAAATATATATATATTTTTTTATATATATAAACAAAAAACGAAAAACTATGTAGATGTCATACCTTTCAAACAATAAATATGAATGAAATTATTTAAGTTAGACAAAAACATTATTTGTTTGTTACCTTTTCAAAGAATCAGAATTTGGTTGTTTTATGTTGATGGGATTGTTCACATGCTTAAACTTAACTAGAGAATTCTGAACCCTGTTGAAATTAAGTTTAGGTAAGAAAAAAGAATGCAGGCTACTTTTTAATTCACATTAAGCCCTCATATAAAGTGCATTGACATAATGGAAAAATAAATATAAATTAAAATTCTACTATACTACTACCATTGTTACAGACATTAAAAAAATACCCTATCAGAGCTTCTTCAATGTGATAAAAACAGTCTCAAATTAGTATTTTACTATACAGGTGCTTAAATAAGTTTGAGATGCTTTTTGGTTAGATTAAATATCTTAGTGATCAGATAAAAGAATCTAGAGGAGGCGTTTTAAAGCAGAAATGGTACTGTGGTGTAGCTTGTCTACATAGTCAGCCTATGTACATGCTTAAAGTTATTGTTTCTGAATTCCAGAGAGGCACAGCAAGGGTGGCAATATAAAATACAAGGCAGTATTATTTGTACACTAGAAAAACCTTCTCTGTGGAGTATTTTATCCTCTGTAACTTCTATAGGGATTTGGGAAAACAACAGATATGACATTTGTCACATCCATCAGACTCTCACAAATCTTTCCTTGTTCAGATCAATCTGAAAATCTTTCCTAGTTCAGATCAATCTGAAAAGGTTTTCCATCCCAAGGGATTACATAGATCACACAGGTAAGTTTATTTTTGCTCTGCTTTCATAAGGACAGGATTACTTCTACAGAAATCTTCAGAAGTCTTCTCTGTGCTTTAAGCACAGGACTGAGGGCAAAAAATAATAACAAGTAATGCTGGTAATGAATGCAACAAAAATGGCACATCTAAAATATTTTACAGCACTACAAAATGCAACTGGCAACTGTGGCTACTGAGAATTTATAAGAAATTTATGGTTATAAAAGTTTTTTTTTTTTTCCTTTAAATACTGAGGGATATTTTAAGTATATTCAAACAAAAATTAAACAAATATTTCCAAAATAGATCAATGTTTCCTTACCACCACCATTGCAACAACTGAAAATCCTTGAAGTTCACACTGATAATAATTAAATCTAGGCAGTTGTCTTAAACTGCAAATCTGAGCCTCTTAGAGGACAGACTTCCACTGTCTTTTATACTGTAAGGAGTTAGTATCATATTCATCACGGTGTGTACACTCTTACAACTTGGACAGAAAATCAGCAATGAAGCAAGGTCTGAACAGCTAGAGTTGAAAGCAGCACATGGCATTTTTATCTTTAAGTTGGTTGGCTAAATACCAGCAAAACTCATTCTGCAGCTGCTGAAATTTCCAAACAATCTTAAGAATGCCTTATGTAGGACACATTAGAGTAAAGGCAATTTAAAGGCAGTTATGGCCCTGCATGCTCTAAGTATGTTCTTCTCCTGAGGGATCTCTGCCAACTTCTTGCTGACTGTGGAAGATAAAAATGCCTCCCAGAAGAATGCTGGATGTTTCTCCAAGACGGGAGAAGGCCTCCACCATTTTCCTCAGCATACTTTCTCACTGCATTGTCTGTTTTATCTAGCACAGGCTTCAAACAATAATTTCTCTGCCAGAAATAAATAAATAAATAAATAAATAAATAAATAAATAAATAAATAAAATCATCTGTAGTGAGGCTGAAGGAGGAGAGGCTATAGGACATATTTCATTAACACACCAAGATACAGACCTCACAGTTCCAAACAACTCCAAATGTCTGTAAGAAGACTCCACTGGATTTTTTGCTCCAGGTATTTATTTCAAAGTTTTGTTAGAAGTCACTGTTACTGTACTGCATTTAAGTTATGATTTATGGAGATATATGAGGAGTTTTATAGGATTTTTTTTTTCCCTAATGTGAAGGAAGAAGAAAAGGACAATTGCTCTAGATTGTGACTTGGTGTTTTAGTTATGTCAAGTCTTTTCTCATCGTTTTCTGTAAAACAGAAAAGATTTCAAAATTCAGAGATCTTTTGCATAAACTAAGACAAGGTGGACTGAAGTCCACAATCCCAATCATCAGGTGATGCAACTCAGTGTAGTCTAACAGAAGTCGATGATCAAACCAATGGAGACATGGTATAACTGTTGTTATATAAATGACAGTACTGATTTCTGGATAGCCTATTTTTATTAGTTTGCAGTGTGTCCTGTATATTTAATAGTATCAAGTGAATCAGTAAGTGCAGCCAGAATTTGCTACTTCCAATTGGCTTTTAAGAAAGGGAAAATTATCAATTTTTAGGCAGTGAATGGAATGCACTTGTGGGACCAATGTGAATATCCTAGGTAAACTTTCAAATGCTTCAAACCCTTTAACTTAGTCTGGAAATGCATTCTTCAAAAGAGGGAAGGGGAGGGGAGGGGAGGGGAGGGGAGGGGAGGGGAGGGGAGGGGAGGGGAGGGGAGGGGAGGGGAAGGGAAGGGAAGGGAAGGGAAGGGAAGGGAAGGGAAGGGAAGGGAAGGGAAGGGAAGGGAAGGGAAGGGAAGGGAAGGGAAGGGAAGGGAAGGGAAGGGAAGGGAAGGGAAGGGAAGGGAAGGGAAGGGAAGGGAAGGGAAGGGAAGGGAAGGGAAGGGAAGGGAAGGGAAGGGAAGGGAAGGGAAGGGAAGGGAAGGGAAGGGAAGGGAAGGGAAGGGAAGGGAAGGGAAGGGAAGGGAAGGGAAGGGAAGGGAAGGGAAGGGAAGGGAAGGGAAGGGAAGGGAAGGGAAGGGAAGGGAAGGGAACCCTTATAACGTTTTCATGGATGTGTGTATTTTGGAATTAAAAGCAATGAAGTTAAATGTAACAGTCTGGGTTTAAAAAAGGAACCTATTCCATCTGTTTAATTTTGTATATAGAGGGATGAGCTATCTTTAAAAAGCAGCAGAAATTTATCTTACAGAGTGTTTTCAAACGCTGTCAAATAGCCTAAATAAGAGTCAGGTTTCTGGAAAATTTTCTCCTTCCAATATGTGCAAGCACAGTTTTTACTTCATTCATGTGCACAGGGTATATCAAAAATCCCTTCCTGTATGTTACTTTATGCTATTAATGCATCCTGTAGAATGAACTTATTCTAGTAGGGGAAGTAAGGATAATTACAGAGACAGTATACCATTCCAGATGTGGCTGTATTAAATTATTAAAAAAATATTTGGGGCACATACAATGTTACTTGTGCCAAGTAACTGTTTCGAAAAATGGGACACAGATTCAAATGGAAACGGCTTTTCTTTGGGGATTTCCTTCTCCTTAAAATGCCCTCTATAACACCAAAAAATATGGAAGTAACAAGAAGAAGAAATATTCAGTAAAAATTTTACAGTTATGGTTTGTATACAGAAATATATTAGAAAAAACAAAAACAAAAACAAACCAACAAAAAAACACCTGTGGCAAAAATAACACTTTTTTTTTTTCTTTTTTTTTTTTTTTTTCTCCCTAGTGTCATGTCTTTGGGTATGTACAGCCTTGGAGAAATGTATAAATCGTTTTGTACATGAAACTCTTAAAAAACTAGAGATTTTTAGTACAAAGGAATCAATTCACTGAAAGAATGTCCACATGTTGTCACTTTATAATTTACTATATATACAAGAGGATCAAACAAAGGACCTCTGTTTTACAGTTACTGCTGTACTGTACATTAACATGTGGCTAATACCCTTCTCTGGGTGTGATTTACACTTAGCATTACAAATAATATAACAATGCTGAAAATACTGATACAAAACACCTTCAAGATGACATTTTAAAAATATCCCTTGCTTTAATTGAACTGTTTTCTCCAGATTTTTTTTTTAAGTTTCAGATTTATAAAAGATTTTCCAAGAAAATAGTAATGTTTAAAATGTGTTTCTTGTTTGTTTGTTTGTTTCTTTTGAAATGTATAGTTGGATTTTTTTTTTAAGAAATTGTAATCCAAAAGTCCATTTTCCAGAAAACAAACAAACAAACAAAAACCAAACAAATCACCAACAACTATAGATACAGTAAGTAAGTTAAAATTGAAAAGGTTATGTTTTTTGTTTTTGTGTTTTTGTTTTTAAATGCACTTATAGTACATTTGTATCATAGGGAAAAAAAACCCTTATTACAGTGTATGTTAATTTATTTACAGATCTGAAATATAATTGCATACATCAGCTCTTGGGATGAACAAGACTGAAGTGTATTGTTAATAATAAACAACTGTACTTTCAATCTACCATAACCTTAAAGGATTGCTCAGATGAAAACACAATTCTGAATAGTGACATTCTGTTATTACTATATATATAGTTTTTTTTTGGTAGAATTTAAACTATGAGTTTCAGTGCAGGCCTGGGAGTCTTGTATACCCATAGTTCATTTGATCAAACTGTTTTTGCATTTTATTTTTATTTTATTCTTTTTAAAGTTTTGGCAGTAGCAACACACACCCACATGTATAAAAACATGAACACTTTTGGCAAATGTTTATATTGATTTGTATGGACACCCAAAATTACCCCCATATCATATGTAGACAAAACCTGCTCTCTTCAACATCAGATGATGTCATCAAATTTACTCTAACCAAATTAAAATCAATAAATATAGTCCCGAAAGTTCAGACTGCTAAAATGGCTTTGCAGAGAATCTGCCAAGTTCATAATCTAATTGTTTCTTAATCTAACCAATTGTTGTATTCATCTGAATATTAAGTAGTTAAGCAGATGTTTGTAAAACTAGTTAAAATCTATGCTGTTAATTCATTTTATATGCCCTATGGGATTTACCTTTAAAAGTTACAGCATTATTAGTGGTTACAGAAGCTCCATTTTTCATTGTATGCTACTTCAGTTGTCACACTAGTTTGTTTCTTTGTGTGGGAATGTGCCATACTCTTGCCTTTCATTATTCATCGCCAGTTAAAGACAGAGGTGACTTTTATCTGATCTGCCTCTATCATACTTGAACGTGCCGGATTACTTAAAAGCAGCTAACTATACATGCTAATATCATTTAAACAGATTACCTGCTGGAGGTTGCAAACTAAGTGTCAAGTTTAGTAAATGCCACATGTTTAGAACATCTTGTTTGAGATGCCTGTTTTCAATCCCTATGAAAGGGGAAAACAGGATCTTCTGGTATTGAAAAGTCTTCAGGTTCCGTAGCATGATCAGATGAATTTACATTCCCTTGAGACCAGCATGCTGCATGTCAGGTAGCATTAGATTCATCTCACTTGCATGTAATATATTAAGATGAGCAAACCTGCTGAGTTGGTATAAACTAGGTCATTAAGTGCAGATATGGTCTACAAATATCACAATTTACACAGATAATTTGGACTGGGTAATAAGACAATTTCTCTTAATTTAGTCTTTCACCTTTTGTTTGATCGATTTTTTTTTGTTTTTGTTTTGGCAAGTGAAATGAAATTATATGATGCATTTTATATACATAGACTGTCAAATTGTGTCATGAGCGACAGTGTCTGCAGAGCACAATCATCACCACAATGTGACATGTCTCCATAGAACAAAAAAGTAGAACAAATTTAGCCAGAAAAGGGCAGGGAGAAGGAAAGGAAACTCAAGAAATCAGGCTGCCATCCTCAGAATGTATTCCAATTATTCTGATTCAAATATCCAGTGAGCCTCTATGATTTCCTGTTAGAGGAAGAAAATCAGTTACTTCCTCTACTTGTGGCATGAGGCATTCGTAAAATACATACAGCAAGAAGTGGTAACACACCTCTACAAGTGAGTAAATTTTATTGTAGTTTTAAGAAGAGGGTGGTCCTCAGAGACTTCTGACTGTTTCCCTAGTCCATATGAATTTCAAGTGGATTTACTAATTATGTACCTATTCATTCCTCACATCTACTTTAACAGTAAAATTATTAAACATACATAGTATTAAGATCACCTTCTAGAACTTCAGGTTGTGTTGGTGGCTTATAAAGACAAAAGAAAAAAATACTTAGCCAATTTTGGACTATCAGTGCCAGGCAAATGATCCCATTTATTCTACCAATAGCGACTTTTGCGTGACAAATCAATCTAGTTATTTAACAATCTAATTCATCCATATGCTACAGTCCTACATGGGAAAGTATGAAACCTATACACAATGTTAATTTTTACTTTATTTTTTTTTTCATGTAAAGGTAGCAGCAGATGAAAACTTAAGACTGAGCTGTAGGTGAGCTTATGTTTCCTTTCAGTTGACACTCCTTCCACGGCAAGAATGCACTGTTACCCATCTTGTTGACCTAAAGTCTGCAGCTCTGCTGTGTGCAAATTGTGGTGGAGGAAAACATTTTTTCTGCTGTACATGTGTAAAGAGATGGGTCCCCTTGGAGGCTGGCCAAGTCTCCCTGTGAAAGTGGTATGTTGCCGAGGTACAGCAGTTTGGTCTTTTGGAGCTCCTGAGAAGAGTGGGTAGCTGTCTGTCTTGGATGCTGGCTTTGCTGTGCTTGGTGCCATGGTGGCCAAACCGTTCTGGGTGACCTCTGAAGTGAGGGTTTCGTATGTGCCTCTAGTATGCTTGATGACTTCCACTATCTCCTTCTCTTTCAGGAGGTTGCTCAGGCACAAATTAGACAGCTGACAGCTTTTGCTTTCATAGGTTGTTGCTCGGTTGCCTGAGTATCTAAAAGGGTCCTCTGTGGGAGTATGTACTGACTTTCTGTCCCTTGTGCTGAGATTTTGGTTCACCATTCTGTTTGGATATGTAACCTGTGGCAAAACAAACAAACAAAAGCCAGAAGTTTTAGCAACAGAACATATTAGCAGGAAAACAGCAGACAGTATAAAACACTCCTTATTACATATGTACAGAGGATGGGGCTGGAGAATTAAAATGAAAGATGAATCTCAAATGCCGAGAAAACTCCCAAAACATTGTTAGCATAAAATGGATGAAGTATTAATTTGTATTTAAAAACAACAACAACAGAAACACTGAAAAATACTTATTACATGTAAGGGTCTGGGGTATTTCCTTAAAAAATAGTTTAAATCAGAAAAGATTTTTTTTTTTTCCAGAACAATATAAAAGGATAATAAAGTTCCATGAACTGGTAACAGATTTTCAAAAGCATTTTATGTGATGAAACAAGAACTTTTATTGAATAGAGTTCAACACTTAATACTCTCAAATTATTAAAAAATGTTAATAATGTGTTTTAAGAATATCTTCATGCCTCATTTAAGCCCAGCTTTCCATGTCCGTTGAATCTAGGTGTTTCACTTAGAGTCAAATACATGTCGAAATGCTCTGCCAGAGCAGAACAGTAATTTTATACCAGCTGCCTGAAAAAAATACAGTGTAAGGATTCCAGAGTGTTAATAAATTTTGATTTGCTGTGTGAGCATACAGGCATTTACATTTGTGTAAATAAACGTGCTTTATCTATTCATGGTAAAGCAAATTACTATGGACTTCTGGTCTGCATATAGTGTGATGCTTCATTTTGATGTGCAGAACACCTGGCCTGAGAGGTTATGATTAGCCTGTGAGACAACATTTAATCCTTCTCTCCACACATTTAGCAAACATATATTTGCATTGTCTGAACTAAAACAAAGTGTTAAGGGGAAAATATTAGTATAGTCAGAGCAAGATTCTGCCTGTTCTATGACAGACTGTAATAGGCAAGTTCACTGGGAGATATGTTTCTGGCTGAGGAATTGCACTAGCCAAGTATTGAATGTTCAGAAGTCTAGTGCCTAGAACCTGAGCTTTAGGTCTACATGACTTCATAAGAAAGCTTCATAAGAGATCTTTATAACTTGTTGCAAAGCATATATGACACCTTTTTGCAAAACAAAGATTAAATATTTGGAAATGAGTTTCAAAAATTGTTAATGCAATCTACTTAAAATCTGTGTTATCTCTGCAATTATGTGAGGAAATAGTACTTTATTTTCTATGTTATTTTGGAACATGTGTTTTTCCTTGTCTTATCTCTGCCATGCTTTCTGTCGAAAGCACCAATTTCTGCCATTCATTTGAAAAAAAAAATATAATAAAATCTATATTATACCATGCAGTTTTTCTGCAACAGAACTCTAAGAAGTCATAGTCACAGTTTCTAGACTTTTACATTGCTATATGCCATATATATATATATATGTGTGTATATATATAAAATAAAGCAGAGGGAATCAAAAATACTCCCAAATCTTATAACAATATTTTGCTAAAAAACATCTCAGGATGTTTCCATGCTTCCATTGGGAACATATGCATTGTTTCAGGACAATCTATATCATTTTGCATGTATGTCTTTTTTAAGCAACGCATAAGATTAATAGTTAATAGTCATGGCTTACAATTCTTTTTTTTCTTTTTTTTTTAATGTGTGTAGTCAGGTTAATGGTCATGCTTCTATGCAGATTCATATGTAGGTTTGGATACAAGTACAAGTATTGCAGCACATTTTAGACATCAGAGTTGGTAGTTCTAGAAAAAAAAATGGACCGGTGTAACATTTTTATTACTTTATTCAGTGCTGATTGTGCCTTTACTCATAAACGGGAGTAGAACACCTATAAAAAATATTGCTTAAGTTGAGAAGAAATTCAGTTTAATTCCTAGGGAGTCACTGCCAGGAAGACCTATCTGTAAGTTTAATCACTTATTTATTTATTTATTAATAAAAAATAAATATAATCTTCCTACTGGGACAAGGGACTCAAATTCAATACCCTGCCAAAAATATATATTTAATATAATACTTATGTAAAAATATAATACTTGTGGTAAGAGAATGTTTCTGGAGTTACCATGTCTCACCTATGCTTTCTGACAACCTAAAAATTGATGTTTCATTCCACAACAGCCATAAATATCCTAAGATTACCAATATGTCTGTCTGCACTTAAATATACTAAATGAATTTAATGAAAATAAAAGAAAGTATTTCAAGCTTTTTTTATTCCATTTTTTTTTCTCATTTCAAGCATTTCCTTCATTTTTCTTAAATAATAATAATAAGAAAAAAACAACAACAACAAAGAAGCAAATGAACAATCAAACAAAACCTTTAGGAGCTGCTGATGTAAATTAAAGTATTTAAATTGTTCCCTGAGGGAAGGAATCTGCTATGATATAAGAATAATCAAAGTTATAGAAAATATGAAATACTCTATTGCACCATAGCATAGTACCATAGTACTGGGAGGAGCTTCATGGCGGGACATCTAGTCTGTTCTACACTTCTGGTCAGGATCAGCTTATTGCCATGTTGTTCCTGACAGAATTGCTATTTCATCTTTAAATAATTCTTTGTCTTTGAAGAATGCTGTCAAGCTACCCTTTACTCTTTGCTCTAGAACTTAAAATATCACATTGATCTTTTTTTTTTTTTCCCCTCATCTTTTAGATCTGAGTCATTTTCACTTGCCTTTTCTGTCGTAATTCTTTTCAGTAATTCCACTTTTTTTTTTTTTTCTTGAAGTACATGGCTCAAGAGTATAGTACTTAAGGTAATTCCCTGGTCATCTGTCTGTCCACAATAGTTCCAAAACTTTTGTCTATAAAACCATTACAAAGTTCTTCAGCTGATTATTGTCAGATAGCCTATTTCCTCATTTGTCTTTGCTGAACTTTTTCGTTTTCCCTCTGACTTTTAATACATCAAGTTCAATCTGACTTCCAATTTTATCCATTAACACGTTTTATTTCCCACCCAACTTCAGGACGTCTGTAAATTTAATAAATTTTTTCTCTAGTCCATAATCCAAATAGTAAATGAATATTAGAGGACACTATAAAACCCTACTCAGTATAGCCTTCTGTTTTTGCACTGGGCCATTGGTAAGTAATATCCAAGGATGGTTTTGCAGTTTGTTCTATATTTGTTTCATTTAGTTTGCATGGTATGTTTAAAAAAACAGTGTCAAAAGCCTTAACAAAGCCTAAAAGCAAGAAATCTGATATCTACAGCTTTTCTTCTAGCCAGAAGGCCTATTACTGTTCTATTGAATGAAATTAGATTGGTTTGGCAATTGATTTGATTTGTAATCCATGTTGGCTCTCGTTCATGTCGTTTTCTTCTCTGTGCTTAAAATTGTTTCACTATTTGCCTTTTTTTTTTCTTTGAGAATTGAAGTTAAACTGATGGAAAACATTACAGTACATTTAAGATGAATCATAACCTTGCCCAAACACTGCAAAAATAGACACTAATACTGCATTGATCTGCTTTAATAAAAATGCCTCAACTTTTCATGGTAGTGCATACTGCTCAGTGAAATGTCTAGGATTAAGTGCTTCCCTTTCTTACAGCTTCTACTGAAGTGCCCATGAAAGCATAATTTATCTGTTTAATAAGCAACTATCCCTTTTGTCCTCATTCAACGAGATTACTCAGTCAAAACCAATACAACCTGTGAATAATCAGACTTTAAGCATTTTACTGCAGATGGTTGCAGCCATGGATACTGAGGCCACTTCTAGTGATAAACAAGAAAATTACTGGAGGTCTTGGATATGAGATCTCTTGTAGTCTTAAGAATGGCTTAGCAGTTATTTTTGTCTCTTGATGGTGAAGAAGAAGAAAAAAGAAGGAGGAGAAGAGGAAGAGAAAGAAGTGGAAGAAGAAGAAGAGGAAGAAGAGGAAGAAGAAGAGGAAGGAGAAGGAGAAGGAGAAGCAGAGTAGGGAAATGATTATTATGAGCTATATTTACCATCAAGGTATGTTCTAAAATTAATACAGAGCAACCAACTGGTTTTGAAAATGAGTGCATAAATATGTTCAAATAAAGGCATATTATTGAACCTGGGTACCAGTAAAAGGTACAAGACATGATTATATTGTTTTGATCTAAATTACAGTATTAATCTAAATGAAATGCTCTATTGTGAATATCTGATGCTGTGGTGTCTCTTTCCTCTTCCTTCTCAGGGTTATATTTAACATATTTTCATTTTAGAAAACACATACTGGGTTTGTAAGTCTCCAAAATTTTGGCTTCAAGATGTTGGCTAATGGAGGGGTCACAGTGTGTGTGTATGTAACAACACGTCTAATAATTTGTATGTGGTTGGGGAAGGTCTTTCTCAGCTTTGTGAAGATGGAACTTGATGAAATTCCTGTTGTATTGAACAATTAAACAAAAAATGTGGTGACAAATTGAGAGATAATTTACCTAAATTTTAAAGCATCAATTGAAATTTACAATAAATCAACAGAATTGTATGACATTGATTTGACTCTGCCTCCAGCAATAGGACAGAGGTTGTTAACAAGGTAAGAGAGATTCATTCTACGAGATCTATCAGTTTTCTTGCTGGTCTATTTTACAGTTATTCAGAATCCTCATAATCTACGCAGAATAAAAAAAATATCCCCCCCCACCCCCAAAAAAAAAAAAAAAAAAAGCTTTAGAAAAAAAATTAAAGTTTCATTTTTAACCTATTTCTCCTGTAGAAGTATTACAGACAATTCTCTGCTTTAGACTTGCAGGTACAAATGCATTCCATGAGCATTAGACATGAGTGAGCAAAGCCACAATCCCAGCACATCTGTTTGCCAGTTTGAAGGCTGAGTTCTTGTCCAAAGCTGAAGGTGGCTTCATGCCAAGTATGTTCCAGTCTAGCTTATAGCAGCTGCAAGGCTGCTGTAAACTGCAGCTTGGCAGTGCACCAAGAAGCTGATCTGCCAGCTGGTGACTGCTGAGGCCAATAAAATAAATATAATAATAAATAAATTTAAAAAAATCCATTCATC